CACTATTTTCTAACTTCAATTATTATCCGGAGCTGAACATCTGATGTTTAAATGGTCAATAGTAAAAATGGCAATCCAGTTCATTCACATCAGAAAGTGAAGAATGCAATGATGAATTTGCCTGGTTGACCAGAAACAGTGAAGATAATGGCAGGATCATAATCTTTTCAGATTCTTTAAACTGAATCACAAAATTGGAGAACGATTTTTGTCCAAAGAGACTCGAAAGTTCAAATGAAAACAACTTATATCCCAGACCACAGAGGCATATCATTCAACGAGAAAATGAACCACTTGTCTCGTAGGGTCAGACCTTGGGCAACTTGTTAAGATTATCAAATGGCATCGTCAACGAAATAGCTTGCAGAATGAAAGAATAGGAAAAAATAGGAAACGCTATTTGTATCTGGCTTGAAAAAGAAAATTTGCTCGAAACGTCGCCAAGTAAATAAATTACTACCATAGTTTTTAAAATGATTTTTCTCTAAAAGTATAATTTCTTTATTCTATCACTTTCGCATTTTTTTCTTTTCTTTTTACTTATTTACAATGCATAAAATGTACTGTTTCTCCATTAGTTTGGCAGCATTAGTTTGGAAAGTGATCTATTACTGGGGTGGTAAGCAAAGTGGAGGTAACCAAAACTAGTAGTATCACTAGTATTGCTTCCATTGCACCACTTCTAAAAGCAAGTATTCATTTACCAATGCACCTAATGTCTGACAAAAGCTCAGTGACCTGTTGTTTAAGTATATCAAAGTATTTATTGGACCAGATAGCTAACTTGGTTGATTAAAAATAACTGAACAGCACATAGAGAATGTGTGATTGCATTCAATACTGATTATCAGGAAGAAGGAGAGTATGCCAAGGTTCTGTATTAAATTTAGATTGATGAATGCAGGAACGTATGAATGCATTGACATATTACTAAGTGGATGAGTGTCTGGATACACTGGAAGGTGCCCAATGGTGAAAACACCTTAAACCTGACAATCAGCTACTGGCAAGCCAAACTGCTTTCAGCACTCAAGATGATTTCTATGACTTCCACATCATGCTATTCAATCTGTTTAATGTTCCTATCACTTTCAAAGGTTAATAGACCTTACACAAAAAAGATTTTAATAAGACAGATGCCCAGTCTAGGTCCAGATGTTGTGGTGTTTTAACATATATTAGAGTCTAAAGCCGAGAACCTGTGTATGACGCTGCAATGGATAAGAATACAAGCTTTAAAGTTGAAACCAGATATAGTTGGTTGACATCCATGCAGGTGCAATTTGTCAGTAATATTGTGGAAAGAGATGTAACACTTACTGATTCCAAATTTGTATAAATTTCTGAAACAAATCTCTGAGGATGTGGTTGCCATAAATTATGACCTTGTCAGTTGAACTTATATTTTGGCCTTTTGAAGTTTAATTTTGAGGTTTGGATCCAGGAAGGCTCTGAGATAATAAAGGGGGAAGTTGCCACTGTCAAAGAATTACTATATTTCACACTTCCGTAACTAGTAAGGAATATATAATTAGTTAGGTATATTCATGTGAGTTTTTCAAACTTTTCATACAGGTATTCTGCATGTAGTTACTTAGTATCATTGTACACATGATGAGAAAGGTCATAAGTTTGAACACTAATTCCATATCTTAAACAAAGGTTACTTGCTACAATAACCACTCTGTTAGGGCTTATACTTGCTTAACCCTGAGCACAGTTGTGGTCAATCCGAAAGGTGGTACAAAAGCATATAAAAGTTAGTGGGAGTTAGAGGTGTACTCCATTTAATACATTCTGAGAATCATAATTGACATAGGTAATAATGAATTGTGAGATATCGCACAAAACTTTTATTTTAATTTAAAAGTGCGATATCCCATTATTCTTGCTCTTGTTCTTTGTCTTGTGTAAACGTCATTCCTTCCTGCAGATTATCAACAACGAACTTAGCAGCCGGCTTGTGTTTGTGAGCATAGTAATAAAAAAGTATTAATTCATTTTTGTTTGCTGATTTTCTTTTTTACTGCCTGTACTGAATTTTGCAATACTCATTACTTATCTCTCGAAAATAAGTATTTGAATGCCATGCCTACAAAGCGAAATCATTTTTAAGTTGACTTACGTTAGCAACTTATGTATGAAATGTACTCAATAAATAACCTCTTTTTTTTACCCATTGCGAAAATCATATTTATCTTGACACTAAATTATATTTCCGAAATGTTTTAAATTGATTACGGACTTTTATGTTGCCCTGACATCATACGAAATAAAAGTGTCTATTGTTTAAAAATTATTACAATTGTGCAACACGACTGTTAATTTCACTTTCAAAATATAGCAAATACATGGTTTTAAATTGGCAAGGAATCCTGTCACGGTGCCATGTTTATAAACCTAAAGCCCATTGGTTTTAAAATCTATTAGTCTGAAAACCATTGGTTCTAAAGCCCATTAGTCCAAAACACACTGGTCCTAGAACAACTCGTTTCTTCATAAGGATAAGGGGTGAGAGGTTTACTTTTGTTCTCAGTAGCAAGTGGCAAGGGTCAGCAGCGAGTCAAGAAAAGTGAGTTGTGAGTTTAGAAAAGCGAGTAATAAGATAGTGTTCTGGATTTTGTTTTATCTTATCATATATCATGTTGTCAACAGAACAAATAAAAGACATTTCTAACCCTTCTTTCAGGTATTTCATTGATTCTGTGAAGTAACTGCAAGAATATCATTCAATGTATTTCTTGGGTGTTATCTCACATTTGATATAATTAAAGTAAAGATACCTCTCCCTCCACTAAGTAAAAATCAGTATTTTAGTATGATAGTTATTTCAGAAAGATTGATAACCATAATGACAACATAATGAGCCAAAGCTTAGTCAATGGTTACACTAGAATTTCTGGATAAACCTTGCTTGAATGTGTTCACTTGGTACACCATAAAGTATACATAGCATTCCTATTCTACAGTTACTTGCCATTTCTTTCATTCTCTTTAGTTATTTTGCTTTTACACGCAAACAATCCACTTTTATTTACAAAGTCAGATGACTTGATCATATGTTAATATGATGAATCCCAATTAGAACCAACATGTGTTACGGTCAAAGGACTTTAGGGCTATAATGTAGTCCCTTATAGGTTCTGAGGTAGCCCTCGTGTATATTTGTGCGAAATTCAACAAACAAACAATTCTAAAACTATGTCTTAAGTTACTCAGTAACATATTTCAGATTACCCGCACAGTACAACATTACCAGGCTTGTGTTTAGCGAGTACTATCCTGCTTTCACAACTTACTTCTATTGATTTGACATTTATATTACATGTATAACTTAGTTTATATATGCGATCTTCATAGTATCATGGTGTTTTAACGTCCATCACACGAAAATTCTCAACATATTGATTCACATCACCTTGGCAACGCTAAAGAAAACATCATAAGTTGCCTACTTAACCATGGCCAAGCTAGTTGACGACATGTTCATCGTCAAAGCAGGTTATACGATCAGACAAACAGGCGTGGTAGTTTTGCCCAACAAACTGCGATTTTCATATTATTCATCTTAACAGTACTTTAGGTAATAATGGAGGCTATTGGAGCATCACGAATTGTTTAGAGCTTTTGAATATGT